ATGTATTTCCATGTGAAAGCTTCAGGTGTTTGCAGTTTCTCTGAAAGTAGTTTTCAGAGCCAGAAATCCAGTTTCTTTGACTGCAGGCAACATGGTGAGCCCTTAACTAGTTGCTAAATATGCTGCAGTTTTTTAATGTTAACTGTTTGTGGCCCTGACTGTAGCAAATCAATGGCAAAAGCATCAGTGTAAATAACATCTACAATTCTAGAAGCAAAATGGCTGTTATGTTTTTAATATTGTGCATTTATTATGTTTCATGTTTGATTGCCAAAAGTCAGTTGAATAGATTTGGATCCTTGCACACCATTTCTGAGCAGCAGACATTGATTTGGCACCAGAGCCCTAAGGACCATTGCCAGGTGGGTGCTGCAAAGATGGGGCTCTGCAGGAGTGGTGCTGTTCATAGCCTGGCCTGTCAATCTTCCTGCAAAAGAAATGGAAGAAAAGGAAAACTTCAGGAGCAGAGCCTCTTCTGTGCCTCTTCAGCCTTACCCTTGGAAGAAGCAGCTGTACTGAGCTCACTCAGCTGGACAGCAGATCCATGGGGAGCATGGTGTCTTTCTGACGCAGAGCACAAACTCCATGTGGTGGGTTCTGCAAAATGTGTGATGTGTATGGGGTAGGGGAGTGCTTTGCTGGATTATTGCTTCAGCAATTTGTTTTTATTAGCTGAAGTTTAATTTCACATTTCAGAGCAGAAATTTGGAGGGAAATTTGAAAGACAGAATTCATCAGTGTGATGAAGGGAATGTGGTTAGATATATGCCTGAAATCAGGGAAGTGCTTGCCCAAGTGGGCACTGGAATATGTTTTGCTGAATTGAGTACCACAGGGTATGGCAGTTTAGTTGGCATAGGCTCTCCAACTTTTCCACATGCCAAAGCATCTTTAAAATTTCAGTGGCAGCTCAAAGTTAAAAGGGTTGAGAGGTTAAGAAACTGACTTATGCTCTGTATTGCAAATGCACTCGGATGTTGAACAAGAGCAGTCAGATCTGTAGCTGCACCTTTGATGGTCTCTAGAGCATTCATTTTAAGACTACATTGGAAAAGAATTTATTTTTTTGTTACAGAAATGTCACTTTTTAGCTTGACTTTTTGCTGCAGTGTGTCACATCCACATTTGAAACACTGGTCTGGTAACCACCATCACAACTTGAAGAATTTGTCAGAAGGGCCATATGTAAACTAATTTGATCTCCCTCATTCCAAGCTTGAACAGAGCAGATGTAAGCCTGGTTCAATTTGGAAGTCTTTTAGGCATGTTAATGCAGGACCTTATAAACTTTATTGCAAGCAGACAGATCAGGTCTTTCAGAACACTTGTTCCTTGAGTGCTTTCATTCGGGTTTGTTGGATTTAAACTAACTTAAAAGTCTTTCAAGCAGCCCGCTTTGTGTGTACGTGGGTCATTCAAATTTTATGTCTCTATACAACTGACAGAAGGAGTGTTTCAAGTCAGAGGGCCAGAATAAATTTTCACAAAACAGAACAGCTTCAGTTATCTTCATCTTTCAGTTAAATGCGAAGAATTGATGTGACCATCATCCACAAGAGAGTGCTTCACCTAGTGGCCTCCATTGTATGGTTTTAGTAGGGCAGTGAGTATGGCTGAGAGAAAAGGGGAAAAAAGATATCTTAGTACAGACCTTGTCTTACTTTTTCTAGTTTCTTGGACTCTGCTACTTCTGCTTTAGAAGAATTTGTTACTTTCCCTGTTGCAGACAACCAGCTGTGACCCAAACAACAATGGTCCCCAGTGACCCATGGACATTCCACATGAGCTGCTGATGGTTAAGGAGGACCTTGAGCAGGATATGAGAAAGGGTACCAGAGGGAGTGTATACCACTGGCCAGGCATTTTCCCTTCCCTGAGGTCTGTGACTATTCAGGCTGTGCTCAGGCTAAGGGCATTTTCCAACCATGAGAGCTGGGACTGTAATCTAGGACTAATTAAAGAATTAATTTGCACTTAATCAACTATCGCTTTGTGAATTCAGTTGGGAATAAGACTTGATAATCTCACACTTAAGAAAGATATTCTCTTCTATGATGTTCTGTGCAGAGAGAGAACATTTTGCCCAAGGTCCCCAAATACTAAGGTGGTTTGCACACTGGGCTATACTGTGAGTGGACGTGATTACTACTTATAACTGTTTCCCTTTGCTTGCATTCCTTCATCAGTGGACTGCAGTGACACCCAAATAGAGGGATAAAGAAGTACACAGTGTAGATTGAAATCTGTTGTTCACAGTAGAGTACTTGTTGCAAGAGTACTGATGTGAGAGTCCACCTTTGGAGGAATCTTGCTGGACATATTTGCATTGCATGAAACTTATTTCTCACATACCTTCTGCCCTTGTCTGTGTGATTTTGAGTGAATAATGCAGCTTCACAACCTAGTTCCTGTCTCTTTTCTCTCTGTCCATCCCAAGTCATGGACTATGCATTCATCTATTTCACCTTGGCCTATAGATGTTTTGCTCTTAATTGCAGCAATAAACTGTCTACAAGTAGTAGTAAAACAATGTGAGAAACTCCTTGGGCTTCCTTGTATGAGACTGAGATTCCGGTTGGGTTATTCAGCTGGCAGAATTGTCCTTTGAAACCTGCAGAAAAGGCAGCTAGCTGCCTGCTACAGATCAGTGGAAAGCCCTTTATAGCTCTGGTACCACCAGAGTTAGGTGATTAATGATGATAAACATGCTGGGAGGCCAATTTCGACTTTGTTTTGTTTTGAATTTTTGTTTCTTGCAGTTTGACCAAGACAAAATTTTGTAGGATAGCTTTTGGACATGTTGTTCAGCAGGAATGAGCAACTTTTTTCCTATCAGTATTATTTATTTTTTTAAGGAGTTAGCACTTTGACCACCTCTGTCTATCACTCAGTTCCGAGCCTTGCTTCATCTTCTGATGCTCAATCCTAGTACACTTGTTAGGTAGGTTAGGGAAAAAGACCATATATTGTCATATCCTTGTGTGCAATTTTCACCTTTGTAGCAGTTGAACAGTTTGTCAAAGTTGGTTGTCTTTGGCAGACCCAAATAATACCTAGTGCTCTTAGGTCTGAGGTTTTTCCAAAGCTCCAGAAGTTCTCTTACAGGGCAATCCATGGCTTTAGCGCAAGTTTACAGCAGAGGCAGTACTTTGGAAGGTGGGTGGAAAGTTAAATGGGGAAATTGGTGAGTTTGAATTTACTTGTTTCAGGAAAATGTCTTTTTATTTTCTTTGGGGTGACAGCTGCAGGAAATGCTGCAATCAGAGTATTCCAAATGTCTGTGCAGACTGGAAAATCTCTGAGACCCACCAGCTAAAACTCAACCATTAACATATTTCAAATATGTTAGGCTGCCTTTGAACAACTTTGTGGAATGTTGCATCTCCCAACAGCAAGCTACAAATGTCCTCAAATACATTATGAAATTTGCTTGAAGAAATGTGAAATAAAGGTGATAAAACTCTTTGTGAGTAATTTATCATAACTGCTTATATTTAAAAGTGAAAGAAGAGCACTAGGAGTGCTCATCAGTGATTAGGTTAGACAGTTTTTTCCTCCTAATATTTTTATTTTCAGTGACGGTCTTAAAACTTTCACTGAAAACTTTCACTTAAAGTTAAATGGCAGGTTTTCTAGCTACAGGATTGGCCTAACAAGAAAATTGTTGCCCAAATAAATCCTTCATTCATATTACTGTACTTGCAATTTAAATCTCATTGATGTTCTTACACTCTCCTCAGTTTATCAGAGTGTTATTTATGTATGACACAACTGTCTTTCTAAAAACCTTTAAAAGTAGCTTTGAAGAGAATGGTTTGGATTAACCTTGTTTTAGATAGAAACATTTTCAGTTTTTGTGACCATTCCACTAATGTTTGAACACACTCCAGTGCCAATTAACGGGAAGCCAATAGTTTTGCCAGTGGAGAGTAAGTTGTAAGTGCTGTAAAATATGTCATTAAAGGTGATTCATGTTGCAGCATTGCCTCACTTTAAGGAAGCTAAATCTCATCCTGCTATAAATGTTATGAATATTACTTCACTGGTGTTTATACTAAGCGTGTATGTGTAGTCACTCCAACCCTTGGGGAAAAAAAAACAAACAGAAATTCCTCTAAGAATTTACACTGCACAAGGTTATGATTTTATTTCCATATACTTCCGTTAGCTCTTTCCTAAGGGAGTAATGGGTCCAAAAGATAGGAAGTTACTCTATATGTCTTCTTTTACTGGAGAAGGAAGAAAGACATAGATAAGAGGATGATTTTGTATTAAATCTCCTGTTGGTTTCTCTTACTTTCCATGGCATCTTGTTCTTAGCTTCTAGTTTGCCTCTCTCTGAAAAGAAAAACCAGAAGCCTGGCAATTTTTCCATGTATATTTGGTGAAATGTAGAATCACTTTTATCAAGGGAACACTTGGGAAGCTGATGTAAATTGTGGATATATATATCTGTATTCAGCATATCTATCTGACACAAATGCACTCCCTAAAGCAAAGTATGAAGTGCTGGAATCTGCTAAGCAAATTTCTAGCTCATTGTGAATGATTCTTTTCATAATTAAAGAGTGTATTTGACACGCATTACTCCAAAGTCACCTGTTGAAGGCTTAATAACATTTCTGATTATCTTTGTCCTGGTGTCTAATAACAGGTGAACTTCCCTGCAAGAGATGTGCAAATTGTCCTCTCTCCTCCACTGTCCTGTTAGTTTTCATAAAACTTTTAAAAATCTTAATTATCCTTGAAAATTTGTGGGCGTTTTTCCCTGTTATGTTTAGGTGAAATTAGCCAGTATTTTCAGAGAGCTAATGAGGCCAGCAAAAGCAGCCAAATTGAGCACAATGCTTAGTAACAAAAGTTGTAGAAAAACAGACAAAAATTTTGCTTCAACTTCTGTTAATATGACTGTGGTTTGGCAGTGCTAGAAGAAGTCATGTGTTGAACTGTAAATCATGTAAACCTGGTGTTCTAGAGTTAATCTCTTGTACCTTTTGCAGGTGGAGATTTACATTTTACCTTTATATATTTACCTATGGAGTACGGTTCCTGAAAAAGGTAGGCATTTATATTATTATGCTTTCATAACACATCACAGACTTGTTTGAAGTCTCATGTAGGTATAACATAAAGCATAGGCATAAAGCCTATGTTCATGAAGAATAAAAATTAAAATTTACTTAAAATTCATAAAATGCTTTGCTACTGACATTATTAAGGTATATAAGTTCTTATCAATATTTAATGGGGTTTAAAAGAGAAAAAAGGTCTAACAACATGCCTAGCTGGCAGTAAGGCTTACCAAAGTGTTCATCTCAGTTTCTCCATCACTTTTTTTTTTAAATGCCTCTGGCAGAGGTTACTTTTTACTAACAAACAAAACGCATTAGTGTATTATAAAATGCTTTTTTTTTAACCTATTCTTTGTCTGAAGTTTCCATGGAGTTTCCTGTCAATGCTGTGTTTCAGGTGATTTAAGCAGAGAAGAATATTGATAGCTTCTAAACACTCTGGCATAGGTCTGTTAACCCTGCCATAGACAGTAATATGGATTTATGGTGCAAACTGTTTTTACAGTGTGACTAGTTCTCAGAGCTTTTGTGGAAGTTGGGTCATATTTTTGCGATTCTGAGATGTGAAATTAGGGGAATGTGGGAGTCAATGTGTTCGTATGATCTTACCTCCTTTGTTTTGGACAAAAATTTGACAGGAGAAGATGTATCCTAAATGTTTCTGGTGCTTCATAAGTAAAAGAAGCTGTTTAAAAAAGTACTAATCGCTTTTATGGCTGTAGTTCTTGAGCCTGTCACAGGTGGCAGGCAAATTGGTGCCAGTAGGACTGATGATGTGCCTGTCTGGGGAGGGCACATCAGAGCTGTTCTCAGCTATTTTGCAGTAGTTAGCCCCAGGGGAAGGGTGGGCACCAGTCCTCCAAACCAACCCGAGGAGCATGTGAGGTGCAATCTCTCCCTGCCTCCTTGAACACTTATATTTTGTGTGTACTTCATCCATTAACAGGCTGTATGGTAACGATCTGATATTCTGTTTTCTGCGTTTGGTTTTGCAAATGTCTGTGGTATGAAATACAAGAATAGTTTTAATAGGCAATTGTCGCAGACTAAAATGTTACTCAGCCTGCAGGTGTGCAGAGATCACAGCTGTGGGTTCACAGGATTCTGTAATACACAAGGACACAGAGACTTTATAATCTGAATTTTTCTACTTCATTACCACAAATGCCGCAAAAATCACCATTAAAAAATACCACAGTCACTACAAGAAAGCATATCTATGATTAATAAAGTGAATCTCTCTCAGCACAAAGAAAGTGTCTATTCTAGGAAAAATTCTGAATACCAGCATTTCTACAGACTAAGAAGAATACAGTAAATGCATGCTTCATTACAAGCCATTGTAAGCTGTTTCTAAAGGCTGGAAACATTTGGAAGGGTCAGGATGTCTTCCAGTTCAGCATATCACTGCAGTGTGAAGAGGGCTGGCTGGCACAGAGCATGGTTGTTTGAACAAGGTGTACAACTGCTTGCTTAACAAGGAGCAGCTGTGTTCTTTTGCTGTAATTTTAACTTTCAACATATTTCACTTTTACAAAGAGAAATTGTTCATTATGTCATTATGTATGTATTTATAACTACTCATTTATACACAATGTTATAAATGAGTCTTGTAACATTTTATGCTATTGTCATTATTCCCGTGTTCTGCTTTGTATACTCAGGTTTTTCACATGGAAATAGATGTAAATTAACAAAAATATGATTCTGATTGTATTTATATTTACAATATCTCCCTAGTAACACTGTGTAACTAAAACAAAGTATACTCTTTTTGCTGTTCATCAAAACATTTTGGTGTTGATCAAACACCAAAGATTTTGCTGAGTCCACTTAAGTGGGAGATCTGTATTTGCAAGAAGTAAAATCCAGACCCCAAAATCTGGAGGGAGAGCTTTGCTACAGTACTCAAGTGGATAATCCTTTTTAATTTGTCTTGTTTTTCATAATTGAATAATTGCAAAGAACAGTTAATTGCTTCCTTAGGAAGCTAGTGAAAGAATTTAAGTATAATAAATTCTCTGACAAATTTGATAGAAAGATCTTTTCTTCAAAAATCTGTTTTGCCTGGAGATAAAGTTTGTATCATAGTCAGTAGTAACTTACTGTGTTAATGCTACAGTAGAGGTTTGAATCCTTTCAAATAATAAGGTCTGCTTAGGCCCATCCCTAAGATACCTAGTCCAGAAGACTGGAATAAGCATGGTGAGCGAGCCCAGGTGTAAAGGCAGTCCCTACTGGTGCAGTTCCATCACAGCATCATGAGCTGCCCTACTGAGAGAGGGCACAAAAGAGTGAATGCCACAAATGTTCCTGTTTTGAAGAATGGAATATGCCACCAGCATAGCACCACATTGGAAATACTTTTAAAATCTATGCTAATGCTTAGCTAATACATGATTTTGGATTGTTGGATTAGACATTTTGATACGGTGTGTCTTTCAAACATCCAAATGTAATAAGAACATATTTTTAAAAGGGAAACTGCATTTTAGTGCTTTTCAAAATAACAGAATCACTCAAGGTGCATTGGTTTGTCCATTTCTGGATAGTTAAGATCCTTGATTTGAGAAAACTGGTTTTACCATGTTGAGTGGGAAGTACTCCTCATTAGTTGACCTAATAGCTTTAACTCTCACAAGTACTTCCTTTAGAAAAGTGAACCAACTCAATAGTACAAAAGGTGCTCCCTAAAACACTATGCCCAATGCATCGCCTCTTTTGTAATTTCTTTTTTAACTCTTGAATTGCCAGGCAACAAAATACTCGAACTTCTGTATTATTGGCCATCCCTCCTGACTTACCTAGTCTCCTTACAACCTGACACTCCCTTGCTTTGCTGCATATATTGATGACTTCATGGGGTTTTCTGTTCACTTTTGACTCTCTTACATTTTCTTTCCTTAGTCTGAGAGCGAAATTAACCTACAAGACTGGCCCAGGGCCGCCAATTACTTAGGCACCACTTTGAGCTAGTTTGAGGTCCTTTGCTTTGTGCTGGCCCTTTGCCTAGAAGTGAATTTTGGATTCTTTCTGAAAACACCTTTCTCTTAATGCCGACAGCACATGAATCATTGCTACTTTGTCTTCTACTGTCACCTTCCCTATTTGCTGCATAAAGCAATATTACTGCATCGGTGCAGTACCAGCAGAAGGGTGGATGTCAGTGTCTCCTTGTGCCCACTGGACCACCCAAGAAGATCTATGCAGGATACTGTAGCAAATCACCATTCTTGCAAAAAGTGTCATTATGTCTTCTGTGGCTTTGTAGAGCTTATCTGGCACTTGGGGAAGATGCACCCGAGCTTAATAAGCAGTAATTAGTTAGATTTATCAGCTCTGTTTTAGTTCTGAAAGTGTGATACTATCAGCATGGCACACATGCCAAGGTTAATTTATTTTTGAATGATGGTAACTAACTACATTCAAGTTTTAGGTTTGCCTGGGTAGTGCATCTTGCAAGGAAAAAGAGGCCTAGGGTTTCAACTTTGATTTTTGCTTCCCTACAAAAGCACGCAAAAGCTAATAAAACTGCTCTTCAGAGCAGTCATAACACCCTCTGAAACGCTGTGGCAAGCTTGTCTTTGTTGCTGTCCATGACTGCAGTTAAATGGCTGATATAGATAGAAGAAATTTCTGCACTGAATAAAGCAACCCCTAAATTTTTGTGGTAACAACTGCACATGATATATCAATTCTCTTGACATGCTATATGTCCTGAGTACATGCTGGAGACTTATGGCCTTCTTACTGAAGACTGTGTCTCTTTATCAAATTCTTCTCTTGGGTTTTGTCTTTTTCCAGTGACAGATGTATGCTGTTAAGGTATTCATAAAATAAAAAAATGTTACTTCTGTTGAAAAGTATTTTCCAAAAATCTCAATTCATATGGAAAAAGTGTCTGACATAAAACTTTGTTGTCAAAGTTTGCTCTATTGCAACAGAACCTGTATGTTTCAAATAAGTTTTTCTCTTAGTGGTATCTGCAGGACACTTAGATTGGGTCATTTTGCTGAATAAAGTTCATCATGAACTCAGAAGAATCCCTCAGATTGGGAAGGCTGAAGATTGACAGTAGTGTCCTGAGTGTGGCTGTTTGCTGTAGGCCATGATTGTGTGCTGATATTGCGTATGAGGGGCTTTAGCAGTGTAAAATGCATAATAACTCATGCTACCATCCACTCTCCCTCCCTCTATCAGTATGGATATCTTCTTTGCACAGGCTCTGGATGATACAACAGCTTATTCACAACACTCTCCTCCACCTCCTGTCAACAGAACCACTGAACTATCAAGGCAGGAGAACTTTATGGAGTTTGTGCTGGTCTCGTTCTTGGTGCCTGTGACCTCAAATGGGTGGATGTTTTCAATTTTGTTTTGATAATAACAGTGACACTGTATGAATATTATAATGTGTACAGGTGATGGCACAAACCATATTCATCTGCTTCAACTGTTTCCCTTTTCTTGGGCCTAAAGAAACAGTAAAAGGGCAGCTTCTACCATTGGTGTTTGCCTGTAGGGTGCAGCTGTATGATTGGTATGTCTTACAAATTTTTTATGATATCAAGGAAACGTGTGCCTCTTTGAAGAGTGAAGTGGGAGACTTAAGTCTTTGGTGGGAAAGTCGAGAAGGCAAGGTGCTTGCTTGCTTACTTACAAACAGACCACAGCGTTCCACACACTTAGTCAAACCATTGTATCACCTACAAATTTTGACTTATATATGCATAAGAGACCAACAGACTTCAGAGAAGAAATTTACCATAGAGTTATTAGTATCTAATTATTGTATTAGACATTCCTCCCTTCCCCAGCTCCTTTTCAGTCTGCAAGGTTTAATTTTATCAGGGAGTTTGCTATCATCGTCTGTAACTAGTGAAGTTGTTAATGATGTTTCAATGTCAAAGCATCTCAAGGATTAAATTGTTTCTTTGGTTTTGGTTTCTTTTTTAAATGTTCCTCACAAACTGTTGCTTCTTCTTC